AAATTTCATTGACATATAAATATGTTATTTATTTAAATATTATAAAATGTAAAAAATTATATTAAAGGTCCTCATTATAATTTGTCGTCTAGGACTTCGAAATTTTCAGGGCCAACTTGAGTATAATCATAGATCAACAAATCTATTAATGGAGTGGTAAAACATGTTGGATTCGGGTCACACTCCTGCCATCGACATGGCTAGCCAGGTACAGATCAACAACACGACTCAATAGGTACTAGGACATATAAGTGTTTGAACATCTAAGTGATCAAATTCACATTTACACGTGAAAAAAGTTCTTTAGAAAACATTTAACATATGCATACGTTTAAAGCGTCTAAACTATTCTAAGAGTGAAAAGCAAGTTCTCTTGACTATAAATAAGTACTTAGAGTATTTTCAAGAGACTACCTATTTATAAAAAGTATCTTATGTATAATAGCAAGAATCTTAAAATTTAGAGCAAGTTTTTTTTTTTTTTTTTTGCAATCCAACAATGCTCTTTATTTTATTCGTTTCAATGAATATTTAGTGATTTCTCCTCATTTCTTATTTAACATAATTTTTTTAATATATTAATGACCAATTCAAATGTTATTTGAATAGTTTAAATAGTAGAGTATTAAAATTTGTAACTTATTAAATGTAATTATTATTAATTAACTTATTTTAAAAGTTAAAATAGAAAATCTCTTGAAGTTTATTTTTAAGTATACACTCTCTAAAATAAAAATTATTTTGTTTTTAGAGAATCGCTGAAAAATACTCTTATAAAAGAAAATATAAATTCGTAATGAAATAGAGAGAGAGTTGTTAGAAAATTTTGTTCGATAACTTCTCATTAGATGGACTGAATCCACTTTGTGGAGAATGTTAATCATTTTTCTTCCTCTCCACCTGGATGTTGGTAAAATAAACATTGGGAAAGACAGTCGATTTTACTCCCGTTTGGCCCTCATTATTGTCAATTTTTAATGATTGGAATAGTTTTTTTTTTTTTTTAAATGTATGGTTGAAAAAGAATGAAAAGTTTTTGATTTATGTATAATATTATTTTATATAAGATTTTGTGATTGAAAATAAGAGAGAGAAAAAAGAATGGGAACGAGAATGGGTCAAATGGGGTAAATTTGCCTTGAAAGAGGTGACTGTTTGTGGTGTTGGAAAACCTTGTAAAATTATCTTCACATAAATAACATCCATCAATCACACAAATAATTGCATAATTGTATTTAAAACGTGGTCACACTTTGAAT